GATCCCCATAATAAATTCCCACCGAATAGCTCCATGATGCTAAATAACATTTCCCGCCCTGCAAGCGGTTGTTAATGGTCACTAACTGCTTCAATGGCGACCTTTCCTACCGCGAAATAAGCCAGCCACCGGAAAGCTAGAAGCCGCTGCACTATGGACGTACCTAAACAGTGAAATGAACTAGTAAGTAAGATTTTTTACGGGAGGAATTTTTTTATTGACTCAGTGATCTCAAATGATTAAGACTAATCGATTTGACAGTTGTCATTATTTGTTCTGGATATTTTTGTTTACTTTTTGTTTCAAGTATTTGCGTATTTCAATATCTTTCTAGATTTTATTTTATTTTCCGCTATTTTCAGTTTAATTTTTATTCTATGTCTAGTATGCCACTGATTTGCAGTGGTCATCAATTATTACAAATAAGTTATAAGCGTGCGTGACGTGAGCTGTCAATTGCGGAAGATGGCGGAATTCTAAACCTAACTTATTTACACATTAATTTTCTGTATAATTTTTGTTTCCGGGAATTTTTCCGATATTTTAATAGTTCTTCTGCTATTAGGGGTGAATCCAACAAACTATTTATTAAACACTCTCTTAACCTATTCTTTTTTATGCATTTTTGTCAAACTATTCAAAGTCATTCGAATTTTCATACTACATTACATTCGAATCATCTCATTCAGATTCAGTTGGTCTTTCGGAACCAAAAGATCTAAAAAAAAGTCATTGGAACCAAAAGATTAAAGAAAAAACGACAAAAATATAAAAAGAATATTATTAAAATACCATATAACATATTGAACAGATAAAATCCTCCAAGAGTATATAAGTATGTCATTAAATAGAAAGAAGTTTATATTTTCGAAGTGTTTATAATTTCTAGGACTCTCTTAACATTTGCTTAAATTTTGCTCTCGTCAAAGGAGGACATTCTGTTTGATATATACTTAATGATGAAAAATTCAACGTATTGCATTTTATTAATGTTTATCTCCGCAGAAAAATAACGTGTGAGAAAACCTCGGAAAAAACTAAAGTACTAAACAAAAATAATTTGCATTTTGTCTATTATGTAGTGCGATTTTTCCTAATAAGACACATAATTAAGAAACAATATACACGTTGTCATTATATTGGCGATAGAGACTACTTCTGGAATAACAGAATAAATTAAAGTATTTTTTTATATATTAGGCATATATGAGGAGGCCAATATCTGTGATGATATATAGGACGTAATTATTTTGGTGCCAAATAAAGGCGTTGGTGCCAAATAAAGGACACCAGGGACAATTTTAGTGATTTTGAATAGTTTATAATTTATTACCATGGTAAATTGTTCATCTCTTATTTCACTCACACTTCGATCTTGGTCTCGATCTTTTAAATAATCCTGTATTATAGAAAAAATGTCGTCGACTTACCTCAGAAATTACGATCATTGATAAATTTCATATGTAAAATATATGGCGAGTATCATCAATCTAAGGTAAATTGACTTCATTATTTCGGTGCAACTCAATAATCATAAATGCTGTTTAAAAAAATATTGTTTTCTACGATCGTGCAAAAAGTACCATTTTTTACACTCTCTACTATATTAAATGTGAATTTTTTTACTAAAATAAATATTTTTTTATTAAAATAAATAAAAAATAAGTTATTTTTTGCACTAGTGCATAAAACACCTTGACATTATTAATGACGAGTTTAATTAAAGAGAAAAAAATTGTAAATTTTTGTAAAAATTTGTCAAATCCAGAAAGGTAAACCAAGTACCAGTACCGGAAACTTCGCAGCAACAATCCGGAAAGAGTTTTAAGTGATTAACAAGAACACGAGACCTACACGAGCAGAAATTCAAAAGTCTAGTACTGGAAATGAAGTTTGTCCATCAATTATCTTAGTGAATTTTTCAAACTGTGACATTAAAATTAAAATGAATTAAAATACAAACATTTAAATAAGAATTTCAATTCAATTGTAGAAAAAATGTTGTGTGCAACATATGCAAAAAGCATATTTGTTGCACTCAGCGTGATTGCAGCTCAGTCATGCGTCGTGCAACAAATATGTCCTTTTTGCACTAGTTACACAAATAACTATACTCCCTAGTAAATACTAAATTACATTTTGCATACTTTTGTCAATTTAGTTGTCTCCTAACTCCAGTTACAAACTATTCAGTGTAAATTTTCTGAGCTCAAAAATTGAATAATTAATTTTTTATATAAGGCAGACAAACATAAAATTAAAAACCATCGAATAATAATATAATTAAAAAAAAACATTTACGAAACAATTAAAATTTTAATTCTGCTTTTTATATTAACTCTATGGCACGGCACTGACCAAATGGTCCTAGTGTCTTACTGGTAACAATTAGGCCTTTGGTGTTATTGGTCCTCTTATATTTTTTAGTCATTGGGGGATTCAACCGAAATTTGAAAAATGATAAAATGTAATCGAATGGTTTATGTGACGATCCTGTATATTAAATAAAACATTTTTATTTTTTATTAAACTGAATTATTATAACAGAAAACCTAATAGGAACCTAATAAAATTACAGTAAGTTGGAAGGCAATGAAACCAAAAAATCTACATTATAAACTTTAAATAACTGGAAACGTAATACCTAAGCGCCCTCTAGAGACAAAGTTTTCGAATCCGCTCATTCATACATAACGAATTTCCTTAGTTCGGAATACGAAAATGGAGAATGTTCATCAAACAAAAGAAAATTCGTTTCTAACTAATCCCATTCCGTTCTTTTATCATTATTTACAGTTTTCGAAGATCTATATAATGCGCTTCGTGATTTGAATGTTGATTATATTATTTAAAAATAAATCGACTTTATATACTTAGATAATATAAGGAATATTCTCTATGTGAGCAAATAAACTAAATAAGAAGGAAGAAGTATCATTTGGTTAAAAATAGGTATCTGTCATATACTCACGAAGCGATCCCTACACGTTTGAATTATATCCGTAGTTATTTTTATTTTCCTGCGAATGTTGGAGTTTACGATGTCAACAAACCATTAATTTTTTTCTTAATATCTAGTAGAGTTTATATTAGAATTTATTTTCGCATCTTCCTCGGAATTTATGGTAATATTTTATTCACACGAGAAATATATTCAGAAGAAGTTCGATTATCTATATTTTTAAAATACATATTTTAAACTAAATGTTTTATGCATTTTCCCATTTTTATTACAAATGAAATACTATGTATTTTATATTTTTTCATTCAGCAGCATTATCACATTTTAATGTACAGTATGAGTCAACGATAGAGTAAAGTCCATTATCTCTTTTGTTTCGAGGTCGACAAAATAATGTTAAATATAAAAGTTATAGGGAAGGTCAAGATACATATCTTAAAATTCGTTATAGTTGTTGTCGTTATAATAGTAGACTGATATACACGAATAGGCCAAGAAAAACATATTTTTTTGTTCAGTACTCTATATTATATGGTACTTTGCTAAATACTATAAGAATATATGTAGATTATCTAGAAAATATTTTCGGTGTGTAATGGGACACGGTTTCGCGGCAGTAGTAATATTTGTTAATATCGGCTATTGGCATGGCTATGAAATGAAGTATAAACCAGAATTGCTACGAGAAAAAAAATTATGTCGAAGAAAATTCCTGAATCAGTAGTCGTCAACAACTACGTAATCTAGTATTACCTTAATCTATGGCTATACGCACTAAAGGAATATCCATGTATCTTTCATATTATAGAAAGACACCAAGAACTTCACGATTTTAGTTTATTGGAGTAAGCTAGTTATTATAAACTAATAATAGTAATAATAACAACTGTAACTAATTACTAAATAACTTGTTAATGTTTAATAATAAATACTTTTGTTTTGCCATGGCAACTATGATGTTTTAGCATAAATGAATTAAAAAAAAGAGTAAAAATTGAAAAAATCAGAATAAGTCGCAAACTATCAAAAATACGTACCTGATATATTATAAAAGAAAAAATGATAATATATAGGGTGTGCCATTTAAAAAATTTGAAATTTTCTAATTCTAATTAGTTGAAATTCATAAATATATTTTGAACACTCTGTAGCATCCAACTAAAATATCTTTATATATATATTTTTTTTTTCTTTAACTCTATAAAACTTTCCTACCAAATTTCAGTAGTCCAATTTAAGAAACAAAAGCATCACTGACAATTTTTTACCAGAATGAAATCTAATATTTGTTTAAACAAATTGAAATTATAAAAAACTATTAGTGTTTGGTATATAACATTATATATAAAAAATTATAGAATTTAACGCACAATCTAAAAATAAAATAAAAATAGGGTGTTTTAAAAAAACATATGTAATATCCGCCACACTTTTTTGAAGCACACTGTATACTCTATAATAATTTTAAAATGTGTATTTTAACCTTCCCTATAACTTTTATATTTAACATTTTTTCTAAACGACGAAACAAATGAGAGAATGGACTTACTCTATCGATGACTCACCAAAATAAAAATAAAAAAAAACAAAATAAAAACACTAAATCACCACAATACACCAAAACACTTTTACTTTTACACTGGACGCGCGTTTAGCTAACCATGTTAGCATCATCAGCAGATGATTATAAACTCAACAGTTTATAATCATCTGCTCATGGTTAGCGAAACGCGCGTCCAGTGTAAAAGTAAAAGTGTTTTGGTGTATTGTGGTGATTTAGTGTTTTTATTTTGCTGTGTAACACCAAAGATTCCAACCCTCAACTGTAATCTTCGATGACTCACCCTGTACTTACAGCTTTTAATAATGGAAAATTGGGCATATTATAAAAAAAGAGAATTAGATTAAGGTATTTTGGTACACCTAGTATAGAAACTTTATGTTTAATCCAATGAGCAAAAAAAGAGAGTGCTACAATAAAAAAGGTTGAAAAGAAACGTAAATTTTAGTTTGAATTAAAAGAACAAACATGACTTACCTCATTTCAAAGTCGTGTATCTCCTCTAACGTCAAATTGTTAGCCACATCCAACAACTGTTTCATGTTTTCCTCCTTTTGACTCTTCAAAGCCGCCAATTTAGCAGCATTTGCCGTCTCAGCAGCAGAACCTCCAGAATGCACATTTCCCACAAAATCACCTCCGTTCTTCAACAGAATCGTCGAAGTAACGTTCGCATGGTCCAGAGACACCGAAGCTTGTTGCACCTGTGAACACTTTTTTTCTGATTTTCGTCTTTTTAGAGACAGTTTGAATTTGGTGAAATTCAGAGTCATTTTAAACAACTATATCACTATACGAATCGTCTTTAATGAAGGTATAAAGATATACTGACCACGATAGTAGCCTGTGGGGCTTTCCTCCCGAAATGTACTGAGTTCTCCAACGGATTGGTGGTCACGTTTATAGGAGACGTGGCCGAGGAGCCAGTGGCGTCCAGCTGGGCTCCCACTTCTCGTAAACATTTGTTCAAACAGACGCTGCCTCTCTTTTCAAACGATGGTGGTGGCAGTTGCGATGCCAGAGCGTCTAAGATGATGCTGCGTCGTCGTTCCAAAGATTCGCTGAAAAAACGGAAAAAGCCGAGGTTAATTATAGAAATAAATAAAGAAATGCTTTAGAACAGAATTACAACAAGAAAACAAAATAATATGATTTAGTTAACATTAGATAAGTAATGAGAAAACATTTACTTTACCTTTAATAACATTCTTTGTCACAAAACTCAAGAACCAAAATAATATCAATGTGTCTCGAATGGTAGTCTAGAAGCTATTATCTAACAAATATCACCTCTGTTCGTCGCCTGATTTCCCTCTCCCTAGCTTGTGAATAATATTTTTAAAAATCAATAATTTTGTTTATGTATACAAAGTGTCTTAAAAATGAATGTTTTGAATTTAAATAAATATGTCTATTTTTAAATAGGCGGTTCATCTCACTGTTGATTAGTTTTTGATTGTTATGTGTATGTCAATTCTAGACTAGAGTGAGAGAGCATATTACATTAAAGTGGATACTGGCGCACGAGAATTACAAGGACACCGAAAAGGCTGGTCAATGCCAAATACTCATCAATGCTATTGATAAGCACATAATTCTTCAGCAATGCTTCAAAACCTATTAAAAATTGCCATACAGCAGTGGATGATGAACAAATCTCTAGAATGCTCAAAAATTCATTAAAGGTGCGACCACAGTGCTCGTGATCCTGCTCGCGCTCTTGCTTCAGATTGTGCTTGCGTTGCTTGCGCTCCGGATTGTCGTGTTTCTCAAGATCTTTCGGTTCGTAAGCAACGGCATCCAAATTTTAGCGTCGTACTTGCGTTCGTGCGGTTCGGACATGGTGTGATGGCAAGCACGTAGAACATCGCGAGCATCGCGAACACCGCGAGCTCCACGAGTATCTCGCTCCGACTGTGTTTTTCTGCTTGCCATGTTTTTTCGTGTTTTACGTGTTCGTTTGGGCTGCTCGTGAACAATGTGGACGCACCTTAAGACAAAAGCAAGCGAAAGCATTCATAGTGGAACGCTCGCAAAAATTACGTTAGGCTTGGTAAGCAAAATAAAGAAGTGTCAAAATTGTAGTGGGTATATTGATAGAGCAAGCTCAATAGGCATTCAAAGTAACTGATAGATGAAGTCAACAATAACACAAGATGAAAGGTAGAATATATTCTATATCAGTGCGACAGCCTGACAAATGTATGTTTCTTTATACTAGACTATGAAAATAGCCATTGGAAAAAGGCTATATGGCAGGTTCAGTCTGCGAGTTATAAAACTTTGTGAACATGATACGAAATAGAGAATGCAATGTATATAGTACATAGTAATGTACTATGTCTCCACTAACATGACAAAAATATTCCAAATTAAATTTTATTTGATATGAGTGCAAATAGATTTGAAATGAATTTATTTGAAATAATTTGAGATGCAATACATATTTGTCGTGTGTGTGGTGGTCTTTAGAATAAATGAGGAACCGGGATTTCCTTGAACTAAGTGATGAGTACAAGCCACGGTGACAAGTTCAAAGAAAAAAAACGGATTGGTGTCGTTTAACTCTGCCGATTTTAGTTTATTGATGTCTGTAATTAAAATTAATGATATTTTTTGGATGAAGAACTAGATCTTCATGTGGTGTTGGGTATTTTGAAACGGAAACGTGTACTACATTTATATAACATTTTTTGTGAAGCTTCTGATTGAATATATAATTTTAATGATTTTATGAGTCTATATTATAGTGCCACTAAATCAAAAGCAGTTTTTTTCTTGCTGCATTTAAGGTCCCTAGAGACTTTCAATAATATTTAAGGCTATCCGATGGCTGTAATGTTCTACAAGCAGGTATACGCTATAAAAGAAGCGAATATTTGTATATAAAGAAAAATTGCTGATATACCAATAGGAGACATCATTAAATAATACTCTGACAGCTTGGGCGCTTTAAGAAGTATCACCATGCTCCTTAAAGTGAGATCGAAAACTGCGATGGACTACCGAGAAGTATTGTTCTGGCTGCGTCAAAGCGAGACCACTCTGTGCTGGGTGCCAGGCCACAGGAATGTGGTAGCAACTAAGAAGCGGACATACTCGCCAAAGAGGGGGTCAGGGGAGAGGCCGTGGCAGACGACCCACCACTTGTGAACGAAGCTATAGGAACTACCTTCCAGATCAAGATTAAGAGACGTGGCAATAATACCGTGAGGACTGCGCTACAGCTCGAAGACTGTGGCCAGTGGTAGATAGCAAAAATACAAAACAACTACTAGAGCCTAGAGCACGAAAAGAACCTAGTACGCATAATTCTAGGTCTCATCAATGGAAACTGCCCTACGAGGGTATACCTCGTGAGATAGTAGATTTCCAACGGCGACTACTGCAGAGAATGCGGAGAGGAAGAAGAAACCATAGAGCATCTGCAGAGTACCGACGCTTGAAAACTTTAGGGCAAAGTTCTTTGGGGGGACCAGAGGAAGCAGTCGAAGCCAACATCAGCGACATCGGGAACTTTGCAAAGAGCTGGAAGGCACGAAAAATTAACGCAATAATAATAAGAGGAAGGTTTGGTACAATAATACAGGTCTCCGAGTGAGGAATCAAACAGGATGCCATACCCCGGCAACCTAACCTAAACTAACCTAAGGTCCCTCTTATTAATGGTACAAGTGATATTTTTACTTGTATTTACCAAATACAAAGACCTGTTATTTTACATAAAGTTTATGCAGTTTCTTGATTCTTTCATACTTATTCGGCTGATCAATATAAATTTCGTACTATGGAATAGTTAAGTAATAGATATTTACGATACAAGTGAGTTAACAGCATCATTAAGATACGCGTGTGAAAGTTGTACCACACAAGTGTAACCACACAAGTATCTTAATGGAGTTAACTCCCGTGTGTTGTTTTTTTTTATTTTAAAAATTATTGTACTTAACTATATACTTATATATCCTAAAAATCAATTACCTTAATACCTTTGTTCAAATAACACCATGCATGGCAATGTCAATATCACAGTAAATAATATTGATGTCACTAGTTCAAAAAATGAGCGATTCGGAAAGTATTCCCTCTGATATTGAAGAAGAGGCATTCAGAGCCATTTCTGGATTGCTTCCAGCAAGATCGAAACAGAAGTCTTCCAGCAAGATCGAAACATACTCTAAGTATGAAAAATGGTACACCGAAAAAAAATACACAACTATGGAAATGAAAAGGTACTTATAACATATTTTTCCAATTTATTGCAACATAAATGTTTTACAAAATATTTTTTGGCTTTGGTAGTCATCTAAAGAAGGAGTGCGGTAATAAAAATGCGTGAGTTAAGAAGCTCTTAACTCACTCAAAATGCGTGAGTTAAGAGCTTCTTAACTTCTTAACTGACGTAGATAAAATATTTTAAATTAACGTCTCCTTTTTGTTGATAAAGCTAATTTGGAAGAGGCCTACTGTTTAAGCGGAATCTGAACCGCGACCCTCGACCTATATCATTGTCAATAGCCTACCGACTTGGCGAGTGTCTAAAACGACTCTTACTCACGAGATATTCATGAATGAGCTGTGTGTGTCAATAGATTTTACACTCTTGCCATGGAATAACAGCACGAGAGAATTTAGAGACGGCCATCCACTTGCATGATCGTTAGGTGAATCATTGTCAAACATTGTCAAATCTTAATTTAGGTGATTTATTGGGAACCGCTTGCGGTGTTTCGACGTAGCCCATGCGATAGTTAAAGTTTGACGTTGAGTTAAGGTCTCCATTTTCCTGCTAGGGCTAATATGGACGGGGTCTACTTTGTGTACACTAGGGTTAAGGGAATTCCGGGAATTTACGGTTCTTTTGAGACATCAAAGAACCGGGACTAGAAATTATTAATTCTCGGTTCTTTCGGTACTTGGTAATCAAAAATAATAAACGGACTCGGTAATAATAATTAAAAACATACTTTTTGTTACGTGCCTACGATTTTTAATACTTTCTAGCGGTCTAAATCAAACTCTTCTAAATAAGTAATGATGCTATCTCTACTGTTCTTACTTCCGAAGTCATTTTGAAGTTTCTATAATGTTTATTAGCAATTATTGAGGATAAATATGTTTTTTTATTACTTAGTATAATATTGCTAAATGTACTAGTTATATTTTTTTGTGTTATGTTTTTATAGGCATTTGTATTTTTAATTGAAATTGTTAAGTTTTTTTTTCAAATTTAGTTAAGTTGGTTTCGATGGTTTCGAGGTTGGTTGATGTTGTTTGATGTAATTTTTAAGCTACCTATGCGTTTTCATTTTTTTTCGCTTGTGTTCATTATCTGTGTTCATGTTTACTTTCTCTCTATTTAATAATTTGATATTATTTTCATTTGAAACTCAATTTTTTATCGGTTTTACTTTTGAGAACAGCTTTTTACTAATTGACGAACTCCACAATCATTGAACAAAATATTTTACTACGGTTTTGGAAACTCTAATTAATACTACCAATTAAGGTTCAGATCTTTTTGGTCATCACAGAACGGCGTCTCGGTTACAATAATTAAACATTTTTTTTTTGTTACATGAGAAAGTCCTTTGATACCTACTTTCTAGCAGTCGAAATCAAACTCTTCTACATAAGTAATGATGCTATTTCTTGTTCTTGCTTCTTTTCTCTTCTTAAGTTCCTATAATATTTATTATGCTATTTTTTAATACATATTTGCATTTAATTTTTTAGGCCGTTTGTTTCAAATTCACTTAAGTTGGTTTATGCTGTTTGATGTGAAATTTAAGTTACCTATACTTCTTTCTTTATTTGTGTTCATGTTAATTTTTTTAAGACTGATTACTTAATAATTAGATATTATTTTCATTACAAATCTCAATTTTTTATCCATTTTACTTTGAAAACCCTTCCCTTGCTTTCTGATTGATGAACTGCATCACCATTGAAGAAAAATTAGTAGTACCGAAAGTACCAAAAAAACGGAAAATTCGGTACGGTACCGGAATTCCCGGTTCCACATAACAGCTCCGGTTCCGGAAACCCTAGTGTACACCGA